CCCGCGCCCGCGCCCCCACAACAGCCGCCCCGGACCGAGGCGGCGCCCCCCGAGGCGACCGACGAGTGCGGCCCGCGGGCCCGGCTCCGCAGCCGCGACAGCTCGTGCGGCCGCCCGGGCACCCCGGGCGCCGCGAGCACAGCCAAGGGCAGCCCAAATGGCGAGTGCGGGCGCGGCGAGCCGCAGTGCAGCCCAGCGGGTCCGGAGGGCCCGGTGCGGGGGCCCAAGGTGTCGTTCTCGTGCCGCGGTGCGGCCGCCGGGCCCGCGCCGGGGCCGGGCGCTGGGCCAGCGCCGGCGGATGAAGCGGGCAGCGAGGAGGCGGGCCCGGCCGGGGAGCCGCGCGGCAGCCAGGCCAGTTTCATGCAGCGCCAATTCGGCGCGCTCCTGCAGCCTGGCGTCAACAAGTTCTCGCTGCGGATGTTTGGCAGCCAGAAGGCCGTGGAGCGAGAGCAGGAGCGTGTTAAGTCAGCGGGGGCCTGGATCATCCATCCGTACAGCGACTTCAGGTACCTACTCCGGGAGGGGCCGGCCGGCACGGAGGGGGCCCCGCGAAAGGACAAGCACTGGGGCAGTCCTTGGAGCGCTTTGGGGAGGGCGGGACTTTGCTCCTGGACGGTGACCTCGGGGGCTTCTCGGTGACCTAGGGCGTGCCCGGGACCCGCCCCTGAGTGACCTGGGCGCTCAAGGCTCCGCCCTTTGGAGGGTTCTGGGGGGCGCGCGCGGATTCCTGGGGTGACCCTAGCGCGCCTCCTCCCACGCACTTTGACATTCCCGGCCCTGCAATGCTGAGGGTGGAGTGGGCACCGGTCGCAGACGGCAGGGCCAGCGTCTGAGTACTGTGGGGCAGAGAGGACGAATAGAGGGGAACGTGGGCACCCGGGAGGCGGTGGAACAGTAGCGAGGGGGAAAGGAAGGGCGCCCGGAAAGGACGCGCCCGAGAAAAGCTGATGGAGAAGGGGTTAAGCAAACGCGGGTCGCTCTATCTCCACCTGCGCCAGGGGGAGCTGCGTCGGGGTCCAGGGGCTTAGTTTGCCTGCGTAGAGGAGGCGCTGAGCGTGCTGTGGTTCCCAGGCAGTGTCTTCTGTGAGCCTCTCAACCCGAGCCGCTGGGTGGTGCGCCCATGTGTCTGTGGGTGTGTAGTTGTTAATATGGACTAAACTGGTTAATGCCTGGAAAGACTGAGAGCAAGGTCTGGCACAGGTCCACGGTCTCATGTTTGGGGTTCTGGTTCCTGTGCGTGGGTTGTGTGGCCGGCGAAACTGAACGGTGGACATCACAGCAGGCCATAAATGTGTGCGTGAACAGGAGCGTGTGACTGCAGGAGGACAGGGGTCCTGGGGGCGTAAGCCTGACGATCTAGGGGGAAGCGTGTTTCTAGGGGTGTGTCTGCATGGTGGGTCCTTGGTATGTGTTCCAGCGGTGCGTGTGTGTGCATGTGTGCACCCTTGTTCAGGGTGTATCTGAGTCAGTGGGTGTGTATATGTTGGTAGGACGTCTGATTTGTGTGTCCTGGGAAGAAGTGGTGTGTGTGCACGCGAGCATGTGCACTCCCAGTGTGAGGTGCATCAGTAGGCAATGGTGCGAGCTGTGCGCAGGTGCCACATGTGTCCGTGGGACTCACTCCCCACCCTAAGCTCAGCGCTCCGGGTGTGTGCGGTTTCAGCACCATGGACAGCGCTCTCGGAGCGCTGGCATTCTGGGCTCTTTTCCTTACCCTAATCTCTCCTTTCCCAGGCATGAGCCCCCCATAGCGAGGTCCCCATTTACCTCTGGATCCCCAGAGCTGGGCAAGGGCTGTTTACTTTCCTTGGCCCCTCTGCATCCCTAGCACTTGACTGGGGAACAGGCCCAGGATACACAGTTAGGGAAAGAGCCTGGAAGAAAGCCTGGAATTCCAATTCCCCATTCTAAGGCCTTCCTGAGAGGTGAACACAGCTCTGAGCCATAGTCTGTATTTCAAGAGAGGCCAGGGGCGGGAGAGCCCAGGAGGGGCTCAGGAGGATTGCTGGATCTTCCTACCCTGTTTTTTGGGGGAGGCCTCAGTATTTCCCTACAGATGGTTCTAGTTGGGAGATCTCTGGCCAGTGTCTCAGCCTGGTATTCTAATCTGAAATGGGCTCAACGGGAAAGGATGGACTGGTTTTTCAGGGCTCACTGGTCTACCTGGCCCCACTTTATTTATTTATTTATTTTTGCAGTTTTGCCAAGGTTGGGTTTGAACCCACCACCTCCAGCATATAGGGCTGGTGGCCCTACTCCTTTGGGACACAGGTGCCAACCCATACCTGGCCCCGTTTTGAATGAGGAGCTAGTGCCAGCTGGCCAGAGGCACGAGAGACCTGGTAGGCAGGGAGCTGCAGAAAGCACCCACTCCTCTTGGTCCCCTCCAGCATGTCTGCCAACAGCACCTCCCCACCCTCACAGTACCAGCCCACAAGTGGTGGTGCAATATTGGCATTGGGGGCTGGCAGCTGTGGACTTCCTCTTGGCTGCAGAGGGGCAATGTGAGACTTGTGGGAGCAGGTGGAGTGATCTTGGGGTGGATGAGGGAGAAGGTTGGACCTTGGGGCTCTGATCCATGCTCTGAAATACAGAGAGGCCATGTGAGCTGTAAGGTCCCAGCTGGGTAGAAAAATTGAAAAACGGGAGGTTAGTAATCAGGGATTGGGTAAGTTTGATCTGTTTTAGAACTAGGAGAGCAAAGTGGTTAGATTTTATTTTACTTGTCTGGGCAAGGTGGCTCATGCCTGTAATTCTAGCACTCTGGGTGGCCAAGGTGGGTGGATTGCTTGAGCTGAGGACTTCAAGACCAGCCTAAGCAAGAGTGAGATCTCATCTCTACTAAAAATAGGAAAACTAGAGCGGTACCTGTGGTTCAGTGGGTAGAGCGCTGGCCCCATATACTGAGGGTGGCGGGTTCAAGCCTGGCTCTGGCCAAACTGTAACAAAAAATAGCTGGGTGTTGTGGTGGGTGCCTGTAGTCCCAGGTACTCAGGAGGCTGAGGCAAGAGAATCGCCTAAGCCCAGGAGTTGAAGGTTGCTGTGAGGTATGATGCCACGGCACTCTACCAAGGGTGATAAAGTGAGACTGTCTCAAAAAAAAAAAGGAAAAGAAAGAAAAACTAGTCGATGCTTGTGGTAGGTGCCTGTAGTCCCAGCTATATGGGAGGCAGAGGCAAGGGAATCTCTTGAGCTTAAGAGTTTGAGTTTGCTGTAATGCCATGGCACTCTACCCAGGGTGACAGAGTAAGACCTGAGTCTCAACAAAAATTATTTTATTGGCCAGGTGCAGTGGCTCATGCCTGTAATCCTAGCACTCTGGTAGGCCAAAGTAGGCCTACAGATTCAAGACCAGCCTGAGTAAGAGCAAGACCCCATCTCTAAAAGTAGCTGGGCGTTGTAGTGGGTATCTATAGTTACAGCTATTCGGGAGGCTGAGGCAAGAGAATCGCTTGAGCCCAAGAGTTTGAGATTGCTGTGAGCTATGACACCACAGCACTCTACCGAGGGCAACAAAGTGAAACTGTCTCTACAAAAAAAAAAAAAGATTTTATGTATGTTTCTATGTATGTATGTAGAGACAGGGTCTTGCTTTGTAGCCCAGGCTAGAGTACAATGGCATGATCATTGTTCATTGCACCCTCCAACTTCTGGCCTCAAGTGATCCTCTTGCCTTGGCCTCCCAAAGTTCTGGAATAACAGATATGAGCCACTGTGCCAGCCTTAATATTTACAAAAGGGCTTAGATGTTGCCAGTCTGGGGTGCAGTGGGGCCTCTATAAGACTCCCATACTGGCTCGGCACCTGTGGCTCAAGTGGCTAAGGCGCCAGCCACATACACCTAAGGTGGCGGGTTCGAATCCCCAGCCCGGGCCCTC